GTCTCTCCCTCTTATTAGGATTAATAAAAGAGAAAACAAGAGAAAAAAAGTGATTTACCATCAATCTTATTTGGTAAAAGAAATTATTTCATGTTATATTACTAAAATAACTGGTCAGTGTTTTTGTTTCTTATGTATCTAAAGGACAATTTTGGTATTATGAAAATATAATTTGTCCACTTTTGGTGAGATTCAAAATGAGGATTTTAAGAGAAATTGGTTACACCCCATTTCTCTTTTTACTAATCCAAATGTTATGAACTAACAGAAATGCATATTGTTTTTCTTTTCTTTCCTAATCACCAATCCAAACGGACTGTAATTCCTCTAATTTTACCATTAAATTGTACAAATGGTATTTGATTTTTAGCAGTGTGGCATATGTAGAAATCATATTTGGTTGGATACAATTGCACTGCCCAACAATAGCCAGTTACAGAACTTTTGTGTTTGCTTTGCTGTCATATTAAGTCATATTATGTATAATTCATGCTAAAAATGGGTGATTTAGTATACTGGGCTTCGGCTAAAACGGGCCTGAGGAAGGCAAAGATGTACGCAACCGCACGCTTATTTCTGAAGAAGGCTATTTTCTTGACTCGAACCGGCATCTCCATGGATGCTAACTGAACGCCTTGCCATTGATCCAAGCCACCTGTAGGTTATAATAAAGAAAGTTGCTTAGTTACCTAAAAAAGCCTTTGTTTTTCATCCGTGAATGCAGCTAATTGTTCTAGCGTTTTGTAACATAGATGGGAGGGTTAAAAAAAAAAAAAAACCCATGAAATTTAAGGTTTTAATATCACATGACAATGATATTAGATTTTCTGAGAAGCCAATTTCAGTAAAAAATTTTATTTAATTTTTCATTTGATTTTATACCCAATACTATCAAGTAAAGTTTAGGTACTCTGGAATTATGGTACTTCTAAGTTTGATGCTCCAAGTAAAGTTTAGGTACTCTGGAATTATGGTACTTCTAAGTTTGATGCTCAAACTTCGATTTCCACTTTATGATTTGAGCATAAAGTTGCTACATAAAACAAAAAGTAGAAATTTTAGATATGCTTCCAAAGAAAATAAGTTCTACTGATAAGCTTCGCTTTGTTTTTGACGTCCCTTATGCTTTGTTGCTAAACCCCTTTCTCTCTGGGTAGCTTTTGGGATATAATATGATCCAGATACCAACTTTTCTTGAAGTACTGTGTGTTTTCCAGAAAATGAAAATAGAAAACAAAAAACGGAAATACAACCAAATAGACCCCAAGACTTCCTCATCAATAATACTCTTATTCCATTGGTTTCTGATAAAGGAAATGAATTGAGATCCAATTACGTATTTGTGGAACAAGTGAGATTTACCTTTTAATCCTCCGAAAGAGTATGTTTGAATTAGAAAATTAAAAAAAATTCATAGTCAGATCGATCGGTTATTCTTACCCCTTGGCTACATCAAGAACCATATGACATTAAAACAAGTAGAATTTATATTTTAGCTGCCAAGTAAGGCACAGCCTAATTATCAGATAAAATCTAATCACAACCGTTGTATCATCGTCAAAAACTCCTCATAAGGCTGCAAAAAAATTAGGTTTACTAGCCAACTTGTCTGTATTTACCACCCCTTCTGATGTTTACCAATATTGTGACAACTTGTCCTAACTCAATTTTGGCATTTGATTGTACGCCAAGGTATTATTTGTGTAGTGCAAAGGATACATATAATACAATATATCTTTAATTATTGATGATATGAACCTGTTTTTGCCTTTGTTTTTTTCTTTCTTAGCCTCAGATGAGCTGGTATTTAGTCACATTGTCTTAGAGCTTTAATTAACTATAGACTACTGAAATTTATTATGATTTTTAAATGCATGTTCAGGGGATATAGCTTCTGATCATATCATTATAATAAAGCCTATGAGAGTTAATTATTATGATATATATTGTCGTGTTATGAGTACAAAACTGGTGGCTGACTGACTGAGTGCTGTATGAAATTTCTTATTTCTCAATTTTTTTAGTGATTTGATAATTGCAAAATGGTTGACAGGTGTTGTGTGCTAATCTCCCACCGGCAAGAAAAAAAATTCTAAGTCCTCTCTCTCTATATATATCTTTTTTTTTTTTTAGTACCCCTTTGTCGCCAGTGTGACATGAACGAGTCATTGATAGATATAAGTAATTTTCCTTGTATATCTTCTTCTCCTTGGTACTGAAACAATGTCCAACAGTTGAATGTGACGTCATCATGGACAGAAAAAAGTGTGACAAACTTTGTGATCAATAGCATTTTAAGTGAATAGGTTACAATTCTTGGAGCCACTTACTTGTTGCATTTTAATGATTCATTTGAATTCATTTTCAACAGATTCTTCTGCATTCATAGGTTCTGTTGTTCCCATCGCTTCTCCATTAATGCTTAGGACTAAATGCTACAACGGAGCTCCTAATGAAATTTGTTCTTGAGTCGATCTCCTCAATCTTTATTGGCTTAGGGCTCTTGATTTTTTTATTTTTTATTTATGTATTTTTTTGAGTATCGGATTATGGAGGGCTAAAACAAGATTGAAAATGCATTTGAATTGTCAATCCTCATGCTTAAGGCACGCCACATGTGGTAATTATATAAGCATTCCCTAATAATTCATGCCTTCACAAACTCCTGTCCCATCATAGAATTTTTCAAAATCAATTTTGTTATTATTATTATTACCTTTCTTGTTATTTAGTCAATTTTGGTGTTCTTTTTCCTTTTTATTGTATGGGAATGTGGTTTTAGAGTGCATTGATGGTAGGGAAACACTTTCGGATACTCTATCTACGCCCTCCTGATGAAAAATTATCTAATAGGTTCGGCTTATATCTTACGTGGTGTGCCTTTCTAATTGTGTGGGACCATGTAACTATTATCTCTTGCTTTTTCTCCTATATTTTAGGCAAAATGATTTTATGTCCCCCTACTATATAATAGGCACACAGCCATATAGTAGATCAGACCTAGCTGATTACTTAATAAAATGAAACTAGAAGAAACCAATCAATCAAAAAACCCAACCACCCACCTCAGCCACCACAATCCAATCCTCCCCTAATTTGCTTTTCATTTTATTCCACATGTTAGGATAATGAAATGCTTGATGACAAGCATACCTATTTGGAAATTCTTCTCCTAAAGCAAGAAAGCAATTTGAATAGACTGAAAAAAAGGAAAAAAAAGTAAAGGAGTGGGAATTGATGAGAATTGAGAGATGTATTGGTGTAAGAAGTCCACCAGTGGAAGATCTAGTTAGAGACAGTGGAATAACAACACAATCTAAATAGTTTCTAATATGTCTCCAAAGCCTACCGAAAGTGGGGTCCAACAAGAACAACTGTCCATCACAAATGCCTTTGCTTAAGTTTTAGCTAATGACTTGAAATCACATAAATATATTTATGTCTTTTGGGTATAAAATATAGGTTTGCCTGCTATAAGAAGATATGCCCAGATCTCATTGAAGACCCTTATTAGTATATATGCTTACATCATTACCCACTTACTTATATTCCTTTGTTTAGCAACTACTCTCCCTCCATATTTTAAGAGTATCACCTAAACATGGTCAAGATAAACATATATTTCACCTATTCTTTAATTGTGTATGTTGGTGGAAGGATAATTACAAAGAAGCTTCACTAAGTGCTGAATAATCAGAATTCTTCATAACTCAAAACTATGTATGAACATGAATTAGAACTGTAGTAGATGGGACTAGGCACCCATAAATATTAATATAACTAGTGTGGGTGCAAATGTGATGTGTTTGCAATTGTATATCTAAACTTTTAAGCTATTTAACAAATGAGGATTGAATTAGAAAACTGTTTAACAGTAAGGTGGAAACGTATTTTGGGAAAACAAAAAAATTTGATGAAGTTTCTAAGTTGTTGGCTTTATATAATATATAAGTACACCCATTTTAGTCACTATTGGATGGAGGTTTGGTAGGGGTAGATTGGGTGCAGATCTTAACAATTGACATAATATGCACAAAGTGACTGTCCTCAAGTTGAAACCCACAACCCTATGGTTAATAGGTCGAGTTTTAACCACTGAAAGGGCAGCTAAGCCTTTCAATAAGACTTTCCATTAGCGTCTTTGGCAGCACAAGTTCAAGTCACAGAAACAACCTCTCCAAAAATGGAGATAAGATTGCGTACATCTTCTCCTCCCTAAATCTTGCTTTAGCAAGAGTTTTGTGCACTAAGTCATCTTTATATATATATATATATTTTGTATGTTGAAAATAATATTATGATAAGCTTTGGTAGAGAACAATACATGAATCCACTGACTAGTTGGTCAATCGAAGTAATCTTTAATAAGCATTTTTCAGGTATAGTAATAGATTTGTTGCAAAGTTAGAGTCCTCCTTCCTCCCAGGTGATTACATCCCCATCTTTCTTTGACTTTTGTTTACAATTGATATAATAACATCTCTCACCTCTGTAAGCATAGAATATTTGTTTTTAATACACAAGTGGTACTATAATTGCATGTTTTATATACTTTAAAGTGCTTATAGACCATTAATTTCCTAGTTAATAAATCCCTCTAAATCCTCTTTGATTGGAAAAGTATGAGGTGTATCTACTACAATATTTAGACGTTAGCTTTAAACCAATATTGGCAGTAAGTGTAAATGCTACGTGTTTGTAATTTTATGTTTAAATATTAGGGTAGTTTGATGAATAAGGAAAATCGTTTTGCAGTTTTGGATAATTTGATAAATTAGAAAAATCATTTAGCAGGATGTAACAGTTATTGAATGTGGAGGACATTGTTGAAAATAAAAAAGGTGATAGTGTTCAAACTAAATGAAGTGTACATTTATATAATATTAATAGAATAGATATCGCATGAGAGATAGCTTCCCTAATCTGACTTTTCTTTTTTACTTTCATTATTTTAAACTGACCTTGTATGTCTATGCTGTTGATGATTATAAAACTATTCTTGTTTAGAGGTGCAATGCATCGTCAAAAAACCAATTGAGTTTACTATAAAAGGAAGAGAGGCAAAACCAAAGATCTGTGTGTTAGTACAAGAAAAGAAAAAAACAAAAACAAAAACAAAATTTGTTTTCTCATTTTCAGAGATATGGAAAAAGATGTCTCAAATCTTCTTTCTCCAACATGGGATGGAGATAATGAATCCTCTTCTTCTAAATCCTGTGGTGAGAAGAAGCTGAGATTGTTTGGATTTGAGCTTGATCCATACAAGATTAATGGTGAGATCTCCATGAAAGGGTCTGCCGAAGGGCCTGATCTTGAAAGCGTAAATTCATCAACCATAGTTTCACATGATCAGAAAAGCAGGAAAGGTGATGCAGCAGAGGAGAAGAAGTTCGAGTGCCAATACTGTTTCAAAGAGTTTGCAAACTCACAGGCATTGGGGGGTCACCAAAATGCCCACAAGAAGGAAAGATTGAAGAAGAAGAGGTTGCAGCTTCAAGCAAGAAAGGCCAGCATCAATTGTTATCTTCAGCCTTATCAAAACAGCCATGGTTTTGCTTACCATGGCTCGAGTGCTCCATGGTTTTACGATCCATCTTGTTATGCTCCTGATTTTTGTCACTATGAGGAGCCCCAAATTAGTTTTTGTCGACTCAAGCAAGGTAGCAATCTCTACAAGTCCCAAGTGTCAAACCGGTATGCCCTGCCTGGTCAGATGGTACCGTTCCAACAGGACACTTGTGTGTTCACCCTGACACAGACTGACCGGTCGGGGGAGAGCCAGCCAATCATCTTCAATCCTTCCCTGTTTCCTGATTCAAAGCAACACTGTAAAACTTTGGATCTTCAATTGGGTTGAGAAATGGGGGGATAGATTCCCGTTACCAGTGTTCCTTTTCTAAATCCTTATACAGCCTTTACCGAGCCTTCCTCTTCTATTACCAAGACTATCCATCAAGTTTTCTCATCTTCTTCTCGCTGAACTGATGAAAGAATATGTCCAAGGCCTCACGATTTGATCAATATTTGGTCCTTTCTGATACAATCTTTCAAATTCATTAATGACTTCCTTACACAAAGCAAAACTTGATCTCATACATATATATAGTGCTTGTCCATTACAATTATGCAACCATGTTATGCAAATAAAGGTTGCATATGTACCGAACCAAACCAAACTAAGCTTGTGTCACAATCAAGTAGGGTCAGTTACATGACTTTTTTTTTTCTTCATTATGCTCTCAAGGGTTATATGCACAGTAAAATTAAATAAATTCATATCTTTTTTCTTATACTGCCCTGCATGCAGAGTCAAGTCCAGACAGAGGCAATCGGGTTGAGGCAGTGAAAACCAACTGGTAAAAGTTGAACAGTTTGTGATTTTGTTGCTGGAAGTCAAGATTTGATCTCAACTTGTTCACACACACACACACACACACACATACACACATGTATTGATGTATTGCTGTTTAGCACTTATTGAAATTGTGTAATTGACTGTTTGTCAAGCATGATTGATAAGGGAAAAAACTCGCAACATGGTAGCAAAGTTCCCAATTAATTTTTATTGTCTTTATGTGATGTCCTCCAGAGCACCCTGGAAGTTTGTTTTTCTCATGTTTGTTAACCTTTTCTATGGTAGGACATTTGAAAAATATTAGATAACGGATTGACGAGTCCACAAATCCTCTCAATCTTGTATCTTTGTTTTTCCTTATTTTATTTTTGACAAATGATACTTGTTCTTGGATGTATGTCACTGTTTTAGTTAAGGATTCTCTGTCATGAATTACTTTACAATGATTTTGTTGTGGTAATTTAAAGTTGAGGGAAAATGATTCGTTTTAATGTGTGTAATTTTAAAAAATGCTGTATTTTGATTTTATTTTGAATTTAAAAACAAAAAAACTTTAGGTTTTTCGGTTCTATTAGATTAGAAGGATTGGAAAAAGTAATTTTTTTTAAAAAAAAAAATGGGAAAATAACCAAAAAAAGGGTGCAAGAATTATTTTTATTATTTTTTATTTTTTTAACTTTTTAGATTAATCTACACATGATAGACCAAAAAAGTAAAAGAAAAATTTGACATAATTTTGAAAAAGACTACTAAATACAAAAAAAAGTTCAGAAAAAAATGAGCCTTACGAAGATGTTCCTAAACACCTTAATCTCTGTTGAATTATGTACTTTATTGATATGTTGTGATGAAAAACACAATAGAATCATTATAGAAAAATTATAGAAAAATCACGACAGATTATTCTTATCCCACTGTTTTATTTACTTTATAGGTATACGTAAGCAACAATAAAAAATAATTGAACTTATTCTACCACATGAAAAGTCGCCTAAAATAGTTAAAATTATCGAATATTTGAATGATATATATCATACTTTTTTCTTTACTGTCAAAGGGGCATGCATGCATGCATGAGAATGGTCATTGAATAAACAAAGATGCTTGGTCTTCAAAAATCTATACTATATATTAAGTAAAAGAGCAATGCTAGGTATCATGAAAAAATTTTCATGAAAATGATCATGAAAAATTTATGATCTTTAGATTACACTTAAAATAAAGCACCACACACTAATCAAGGTAATCTAAGGGTCATAAATTTTTCATGACCAGTTTCATGAAAGTTTTTTCATGATCCCTATCTTTTCTCTAAGTAAAAAAAGGCTTTTAATCCTTAAGGTATGTGAGAGTTTTAATATCTCAATCTGAATTTTTTAAATTTTTTATTTTAAAAAAAAAAACTCAGCATTTATTGATTTTGTCAAAATTTCCTAATTAGCATTTATTAATTTTTTTCAATCCACGTGTTTTTCCACATGCCTGCATTTATTGATTTGGTAAAATCCCTTGATCAGCATTTAAAATCGCTTCATACAAATAATTATAGATACAACTCGTGCATAGTTATTGCATTACCATTTTTAACTTCTCTCATGCATTACGGTTAGTGATAAAATTGTTAAATTATTTTTATAAAAAATTTTAAAAAACATAATTTATATATTAAAAAAATCTAAAATAAAAATAAATATCTATAATTATCTTGTGCATAACATGGATGATAGGTTAGTAAATAAATAAACAAAAACATGCTTATATCAAATTGAAACTTGACATTAAATAATAACAATAAAACCCGTTCAAATATCTGCAAAGAAAAATGGTTGAGATCACTAAAAGTGGTGCTCTAATAGCACCACCAATGGTGTGGCAGTGAGCCCCGCCCACTGTCCATGCTTTGTTTTTTTTTTGTTTTTTTTGATATTCTCAATGTATTAGTGCTATTAATAGTCTTTATTTTAATGGTATGAATCATTATTGTATATGCAAAATACTATTTATATATGATATGGTTGACAGGATTAAAATAGGATTTAATAACATATGGAAAATCTAGATCCATGAAATCTAGAACTAGGTAATATGGGTTGGTTGTTCTTATTTCACTATCTCATGTCATTTCATTACTATGTAAACATTTTTATAATGATACTTAGATTGTTAACGATACGTACGAAACCATCTCTCTATTTATTATTTTTTAATTCACAATAATAAATAAAGTTGGATATTTATCAAGATAAAAAATAATAATAATAAAATAAAATTAGATAAAACACCTAAGCACACACGTGTTATATATTATATTATGAGTTCGTTTAGGATGTGAGTTGACTTTTTTATTATTTTAATCTGGGACTATAAAATCTCATTTGGGATAAATTTTTTGAGATGTGACCTCTTTTCCTATTTAACTAACACACCTATTTTGTCCTAACTATTTTAGTCCAAATCTATATCCCAAACAGAACCTATAAATCTATTTCTAACCTGATCACATCAGGAAAAGACTATTTCAAACAAAAGGATAAAAGACGTGGGGACATAAAATTTGGACTCACATGCGAAACACAACTCTCCAATACTGTAAAAAAAAGGTTGTTTAAATTTTTATTTATTTATTTATTTTTTATCATTATAGGAGGAAAATATCATACTTAAATGAAATCAACCAAAAGATGAACAAGGTACTGAAAAAGCTAGATATACATAATTTAAATTCATAAATTTATTTATGGTAAAAGAAATTAGATATTATATAATTAAATTTATGATAAATCAAAAGTCAGCATGTAGCATATCATTTCATTTTCATTATGTGAATCAAATTAAGAATTTTTTTAAAGAATTTCAAATATTTTTCAGTAACGTGTCATAAATCTGAATAAACAAGATAGAGCACCGTTAATACCTAATTAATTGTTGTAAACAGGCACTCTAATAGTTTTTGTTGAACCAGAGACACTCTAATAGTTAAGCCATGACTTCCATGAATTTATTAATTAAGTAATCTAACTTATTGAATAAATGAGTGTGTACTTGGACCCTTGGGTTACAGATGTAGAAAAAAAAAGAAATAAATGATGACCAAACTAGGCACAATATCATAGAAGGAGATTGTTGTTAGTCCAAGGTAATTGGTAACTTGGGATGAAATTTATTAGTTAAGTGGAGGAGTCACGCATTGATGGGTCTTTGAATGTCTAGGTGCAGAGAAAGTGTTAGGAACTAGGTTCACCTTCCAATCTTTGCTACTCCTATCAATGAGCTTTCAATTCTAACCAAACTACAATAAGTAGAAGACCAACAAATATTTCTACAATTTTTTAAAAATGATATCATCTAAAAATGCACTAAAAGTCAAAAAAACAAAGCCAAAAAATATTTGGAGAAATAACAATTTAATGAGACAACCACAAAATAATTATTTTTTACATGAAAAAATTTGGAATTGGATGCGCTCCAATGGGACTAGGCAACTGAACAATCTAGTCTGGCCCATTGTGAGTTTATCTTAACGATCTAAACTATTCATGTAGGGTTTGTAGGGCTCGTCGAGTACTTCATTCCTATAAAAAATCACGTTGATCGGATATCAATAGCTACTTGATCAGATTGCATTTGTGTGAACAGTTTATTTTTAAAATCATAATTATCGTTGATACAAATTTGCTCTAATTAAGTGATTATCAATATTCAATTAACGTAATTTTTTACAAGATTAAAGTACTCGACAAATTTTACACTTGAATAACTCAAATCATTGATATGAGTTTCATGATGGCCCATGAAGTCCTCATAGTACGCTCCCCGTTCGATTACAAGCCAGAGCCAAAAAACTTTTAAGTGCATAGACTTGCATTCCCTATAAGGTAGGACTTACACTCATATTTGGTGGATTTCTAGGAACTTATTTCATAATTTTTTTCTAAAATCAAAAAATAAGTTTGGTGAAAAAATAAAAAAATATATTTATCAAAATATTTTTGATATTTATTTTTTTGAAACTAGTTTCCCTTTTAACAAAAAAAAATTCCCAAACATGGCCTGCATTTCTATAAAAAAAAAAGGGCAAATTACGTATACCTCTTTCGAGGTTTAGCTAAATTACAGATACCCTTCCTGAGATTTCAAAAATTACAGATACCCCCTGAGGTTTATATTTTCATAACAAATTACCCTCTGAGGTTTATATTTTCATAACAATTTATCCCCTAATTTGTTATGCAAATAGTACATTCAGGGGAGTATCTGTAATTTCTCAAATTTCAAAGGATATCTGTAATTTTGCTAAATCTCGATAGGAGTATATGGAATTTGCCCTAAAAAAAATGAACTTATTTAATCATTGTTCAACTGGTTTGTAATTTTCTCAAAAAACTTATGTTGAAAGCAATTGTCAAACCAAGGTAGAGTTCAAAAATTATTATTAAAAAAATGGTTAGTCCACATAAGTAGATTATACCATGTGGTTGAGTTGGTAAAATACACCATGGTCACACTTCAGTAATTCAAATTATTCATCTTGTCATCTTTTGTGTATGAATTATATATAATTAACTTAATCATTGTAGTTATAAATTTTATTATTATATATCTTTAAAAACAAAAACAATTTGTTTTTATACATATTTTTTTAAAAACATATATAATAAGATGTTATAATTATCAAATCAATGTGAATTTTGTTTATTGATGATCTATGCACTGGTCCAACAAGATAAATGATTATAAACATTTTTATAATGATACTTAGATTGTTAACGATACGTACGAAACCATCTCTCTATTTATTATTTTTTAATTCACAATAATAAATAAAGTTGGATATTTATCAAGATAAAAAATAATAATAATAAAATAAAATTAGATAAAACACCTAAGCACACACGTGTCATATATTATATTATGAGTTCGTTTGGGATGTGAGATGACTTTTTTATTATTTTAGTCTGAGACTATAAAATCTCATTTGGAATAAATTTTTTGAGATGTGGCATCTTTTCTTATTTAACTAGCATACCTATTTTGTCCTAACTATTTTAGTCCAAATCTATATCCCAAACAGAACCTATAAATCTATTTCTAACCTGATCACATCAGGAAAAGACTATTTCAAACAAAAGGATTAAAGACGTGGGGACATAAAATTTGGACTCACATGCGAAACACCACTCTCCAATACTGTAAAAAAAAGGTTGTTTAAATTTTTATTTATTTATTTATTTATTTTTTATCATTATAGGAGGAAAATATCATACTTAAATGAAATCAACCAAAAGATGAACAAGGTACTGAAAAAGCCAGATATACATAATTTA